TCTATCTATTCTCCTATCCTTCTGCAGAATACACTAGTCCTAACAATCTGGCTTTCTCACTGTCTTCTCTCCTCACCTAAAGGAACCATAGGCCTCGAAGATCGTGACTGTTAGGGTTAACCTTCTTAGCCCTAGCTCCTGTCGATACATATAGATATTTTTGATTCAACACCTATATTTTCCTTCCTTAGTGCGTTGTGTTTGGTATTTGTATATCTTTTGCCATAACCTTTTCTCAAAACACATTTCATTGTTGTTTTTCTGTATTAATACTTTAAAATTCGCAAATAAGTGTTATCATACAAAATTTACTTATTCGCAGAAATAAGAGAAAATTAATAAAAAAAGAAAAGAAGCCGCGAACACTGAACCACATATAGGCAAGCGTCAATCGGTCATGCAAACATTGGGGGAAGGAATTAATTCATACCACTTTGTGAAAAAAGAGGGGTTATTTATAGTAACTATGTATTATACCTTATTCGAAGCATTGTCCGTTGACAGCTATAACGTTTTACCGTCTGTGAGATAACAAATGGACTCCATACTCTCAAAACTGTTGACCTCTTGATGCAATCGAGCCAATTTTTTGATTTCATAATAAGAATTTAAGTGTTGTTCTTCAAGGCCATGTTGTATTGATCAGAATAAAAACTCATCTGGTGGAGCAGTGTCTGGTGACTACGATGTGTGTGGTAGAGCTTCCGAGCCAAGTGCGATCTGGCGTTGCCATGTTCCAAAATCATCTTCTAGCCCCTTTGCGTTCAGGGCTCGGCAATACTTCATCAAATACTTGTCGATATGGCGCAGCGGCAACAATTAGACTGATTGACTTCGACGAAAATACTCATGTCAAATGTGGGTCTTCGCTCATAAAACCTTGAATGTACTGAGCTAAACTAAGTTACAAATTAAGTTGTGAGGGAATTAAAAGGCCTACAAGTTCGAGACTGGAGTATATACTAGAACGCACACAAGGAAGGCTGTAGACCCACTGGTGGACCGAAGCCCTCGCAGCTGTGCCATGCAGCGACATACTATCGGCAAATCCCTTGTCTGGGTTTTTAGCTAGTATCTCTGCTGCCTGTATGGTAGATAATTAAGTAGATCATACTACCGGCTGCTTGTTGGCAGCTTGTGAAGATTACGCGTCACCCTTAGTGGTTGGTGGACTTCGGCGAAAATATTCATATCAAATTTGCCTCTGTACCCCTAGACCCCTGAATATACTGATCTACTCCAAGTTGAAAATTCATTTCTGAGGAAATTAAAAAACTACAGTAAGAAATGCAGATCGTTTCCACTACTGATAGTACGCCGCTCCCTTTTGCTGTTAATAAGTACCAAGCATACCCTGGCTTCTATGAATATTCTGACTTTGCGTTCATGTTGGTGGTCAGCCTCGTTAATTTTTTGTACGTTTAAGATTACCGAAACAGATTAATTTTTTAATAGAAATCCTGATTCAATGCAAAACTGAATGTCTAAGAAACGATATTTATAATGTGGTTTTATGCTTTTTTGTTGCCATTTCAGTCATCAGTGCATGTCAACGTTTGCCAGCTACGAACTTATCCACTCCCACTACTTCTGCAATTTCTCTGAGCGTTTGACACAGATCTTGATCGAACAACTCTTCCACTTCTTCATCTTCGAATTTTTTTGGCTTTTATAAATTTTCTGCATCTTCTATGCTAAAATCATCAATTCTAAAACCAGCTTCTGTATACGGCATATTCACCCTAAGTTTCGTTAACTGAACATATCTAGCAAATCAAATGTATCGTTTGTGATACCACATTCATAGGCCAAATAGTGAAAATCGCATCAACCCGCTTGCATGAGCACCAACAAGCGACGAAAAGACAAGACAACTTATCCCAGGTGGATATGCACGCATGGGAAACTATATACATATTTGCGCGGAAAACACTCGCATTGCTGGCACCCGC